CACTTATACGATGGGGAGCTCCCTACTTGAGAGCACGGAGGCGGAAAGGGATCTTGGTGTCATTATTGACTCCAAGATGAACATGGGCCGACAATGCGAGGTCATGGTTGGCAGGGCTAACCGGACCTTGTCGTGCATCCACAGGTGCATCTCGAGTAGAGCCAGGGAGGTGATCCTCCCCCTCTATGCGACGCTGGTCAGGCCGCAGCTGGAGTATTGTGTCCAGTTCTGTGCGCCCCATTTCAGGAGGGATGTGGACAACATGGAGAGGGTCCAGAGGAGGGCCACCCGCATGATCCGGGGACAACAGGGCAGACCCTACAGTGAGAGACTGCGGGACTTGAACCTATTCAGCCTCCACAAGAGAAGGCTGAGGGGGGACCTGGTGACCGTCTATAAACTCACTAGGGGGAACCAGAAGGGTTTGGGGGAGACGCTGTTTCCCCTAGCCCCCGCTGGCATAACAAGGAGTAATGGGCACAAGTTGATGGAGAGGAGGTACAGATTGGACATCTGAAAAAACTACTTCACAGTTAGGGCGGCTAGGAGCTGGAACCAACTTCCAAGGGAGGTGGTGCTGGCCCCTACCCTGGGGATCTTTAAGAAGAGGCTGGATACCTACCTGGCTGGACTCATTTGAGTCCCGTTTTTGTTGTTAGGGTGAGTGTTTTTTTTGTTTTTGTTTTTTTTTGGGTTGTTCTCCCGCCCTGGCGGGGGGTCGGGCTAAAAGATTTATTAGGTCCCTTCCGACCCTGAAACTATGAAACTATGAAACTATGTTGGTATATCTTTCTTCCCACTAGCCTGTGAGATTAATGTCATTTACATATAGCAGACTACAGACAAGGAAGTTTCAATATGAAGGTTTACTGCTTGTCTCAGGTGCCCTTATCTTCTCCCAGTCCCACAGAGATGATGCCAATGTAGAGGCAGTAGTACTACTCTCCAGCACTCTCTCTGCAGTTACTAAGGAAAAGTTTAAAGCTGTTTGCATTGCTCGTCCAAGTCAGCAAAGAAACCCCATACATTCTGGAGAAAACATTTGAGCCATCTTGATGCAAATACTTTGATCCATCATTATCACCACACTTCAGACTCTGGAACAAGCCTTCCCTACATGACAAATGGGTGATACGAGTTACTAGCCATCTTATTATTCTAAAGGAACTATGGGGAAGTTTATGCACCTTGCTCAAAGGACACACTAAATGAGGCAACCGCAAGATATGTATATCTGGGGAAGCATGAAGTCTCAAGTTGTTTCCTTTTCACCTTGCTGTTCACTGTAACCCCAAGGTCCTTTCCTGAAAAGCTGCTACTTAGGTACTTGGTCCTCAGCCAGTTGGTCCTCATCAGTTGGTCCTCCTCTGCACTTCTCCTTATTGAATCTCTTGCATTATCCAGTAAAGCACTAAAGGAGACAAAAGTCATGGTGAGGAAAGGGCTGCACAGTGGAAAAAAATGAAGCCCTTTCAAGCAAATATATTTATTACTTGTATCAGTCTCCTCTCTCCCCCCACTCTTCCCCCCTTACCCCTCCCCCCCATTTTCTTTACTGTCATTCTGGACAGCAGAGGCTGGAAGTACCACTGGAGCAGAAGTACCAGTGACAGGTGGTTTTATCCTGATTAAACCATGCAAATATTAAATACACTTAGACCAGCTTGGAGAACCCTACTGCATATATTAAATCAACAGGCATGCCACTTCTTCTTTAGCTCTTCTGGATTGGGTCCATGGGCCTCCTAAAAACTAAGGTGTGTTGGGCAATTTTACTCTGTAGCACAGTGCTGGTGTTGCAGTACCCCAGTAGGTTCTCATGGCACCCCAGGTGAGCAGCATTGTCTCAGACCTTTTAATCCTAAGAATATACACATAATGGGGGGAGGTTAAAAAAAAATCCCCAAAAACTCCCACCTCCAATGTGAGTACTCTGAATACAGGGCTAGAGACAAGGCTGGGCAATGATTGTTCTCCATCCTTCCTATTCAAGATGGGCCCCTATGCTAAAAGGAATGCAAGAGTTATGCAGCCAGGAGACCAAGCAATGGGAAACTACCCTCTGCAGCCCAGTGAAGACAGCACTCCCCTGAGAGAAGGAGAGCCCTGGGCTCTGATCCCTGCTTCCAGGGGCTCTTTAATGCAAACGTATAAACAGCTGCAGGAACAGGGACCAGAAACCAGTAGTCTTTGTGGCATCATCACCCTCAAGCATGCTATTAACTAGAATGCCATAAAAATAAGAGTAAACACAGGCTGAAAAATGTAAAAGGGCTCCAAAAAAAAGAGGAAAAACTTATGAAAGCAGTTAGGTATCCAGGTTGTAGTCATATTGATCTAGAGGCAAAGGCAATCAGGACTCGTAGTAGAGATGATATCTTTTATTAGATTATCCTGTTGGTCTAATAAAACATATCATCTCTACTATGAGTCCTGATTGCCTTTTTATGCAAGCTGTTGGAATTATGACAAAATACAGTAGACTAAAGAATGTCAGGCTATTTAATCGACCCAAGAGATACCGAAGAGGTGACTTGTTAAGCTATTATCTCCTAAACTAAAAGACACACTATCAAGTGGTCCTTTTATTGGCTAACACAGTCATACTGTGTGCGTCTATGTGTTCATTAATGTGCCACAGTTGCAGCGCATTAAGTTTAGTACTTGCATAACCAGGTACTGAATGAATGCACAGTAACTGAATCAATACACAGTCCAAACGCTTCTTAAAGGAGTCCAGAGTAGGTGCTTGCACCACCTCTGGAGGGAAGCTATTCTAGCCCCTAAAGCCTGGAATAAAACTGACAAAGTGAGGGTTTGTTTTAATAACAGAACACACAACCTTTTGGTGGAACTTAAAAAAAAAAAGAAGCATGTGTGTCTGGCATTTTTCTGTGTGAAATTCAAATTGTTTCCTGGCCCGCTCTAAGGTGCTGTGGGGGCTGCTGCTCTGTGGTATAATAGACTTATGCAATGTCTATAATTCAAATGTGCAAGTAAACTGCTTATAAGTCATCCTTTCACATAATCCTCGCTGTACCCAGAGGCAATTTTCAGGGAAGCAGAGACAAAAAAGGGCGTGCACACATTTATATAAGTAATGAATTTGCATGAGATGTCTGTCACAAGAACTAGTGGAAAGCCTGTCCAGTGAGCCAGTAGAAAAGTCACTTGCCTGGATCTGAGGGGCTTCACTTCAGCTCTCTATCATTTCTCTATCACTGACTTCCTGCATGACCTTGGTCAAGCTGTTAGCTCTTTTCCAGTAAAAAAGAAGTCATAGTCCTCCCCAAGCTCAAGCATATAGTAATTCATTAACATTGCTCTATTCAACCCAAATGCCAAAAGTCCCTAAAAGTGAATGTTCCAAAAGTTATAAGCACAAGTGAGAGGAAAGTGGCTCCGCAGTCTCCGGGCACCATCCCGGCCAGAGCCTCCTTCCTGGTTAAGAACAGGGTCCACTTGGCCAGGGCCAGGAGGAGGATGACCAGGAGGTCCCGCTGTTCATCCACCTGGATGCCTGGCAGCCCAGCTCCAGGGCTCAGTCAGGAAACACCTCCCATCATTTGATGAAGTTGGAATATGACACATTACATGCAAAGGGTGAACAAACACCTCCCATCATTTGATGAAGTTGGAATATGACACATTACATGCAACGTGTGAACTTCCTGCTAAGCCACAATGTTGTACTTTCAGCTAAGAAAGGAAAGAGTTACACACTTCACTGCCAACCAGTTATAAAGGTTGTATAAAAAGTAAATAAATCTCCCAAGAGACATGCAGTTGTGCCAAATCTCATGATTTTGGGCGTTGTTCTTAAAGGCCGTGTGTAGACAAAATGAGAGCTGTGCGTGCACAACACTTTCAAGTGGGCTAAATGCTTTTGCCATGCTTTAATGGTCTTGGTGTTTCCATGCCGTGGCAATGCATTGCACAATAATTCCAGCCGCTGTAGGAAATTCAGCCAGGTAATGCTCCTTATATGACTTGGGGCACAGCAAACTAAAACTCCTTCGAGGAGTTTTAGTTTGCTGCCCCTGCAACTGCAGAGCAAAGCACCAGGCTCCGTGCAGCTCTGCAGCTCTGCAGGAAGCCCTGCAGGCAGCCTGACAGCAGCCCAGGAAAGCAGGCTCTGCCCAAGAAAAGCAGTGAGCCTGATCTTTCCCCCATCCACGCCCACCAAAACCTGCCTGCCTCAGCTGCACTGAGGCCTGGTGCTTCCCTCCGCACCTGCGGTGCCCCCTGGGACCACCCGAGCTGAGTGTCTGTTGGCAGGCGCCATCTGGGGGGGGCACCACTGGTGCGGAAGGAAACACCAGCCCCCGCACAGCCCAGGGACTGCTCCACCCACCAGCAGCTCACCCTCCCCTCCCTGCCGGAGAGGCAGGTAAGTCAGCAGGGTGTGTGCGTGACATGGGAGTTTAATCAGCAGTGGGTGCCCCCTGGGACCACCCGAGCTGAGTGTCTGTTGGCAGGCGCCATCTGGGGGGGGCACCACTGGTGCGGAAGGAAACACCAGCCCCCGCACAGCCCAGGGACTGCTCCACCCACCAGCAGCTCACCCTCCCCTCCCTGCCGGAGAGGCAGGTAAGTCAGCAGGGTGTGTGCGTGACATGGGAGTTTAATCAGCAGTGGGATTTTTAAAACCCACCGCTTCAATATAGGCCCCCCCGTTTTGTCTACAACCGCCCAAAGTCTCCATTTTGTGAATGTGAAAAACTTAGCCCTTCCTTTCATACGTATGTTATATGCATGGAAGGAAGAGCTAAGATTTTTACATTCCCGAAGCGTAGGCTTCGAAGAACACCACTAATCATGTGACCTGGCAATGCCAGACAGATGATGTAATCACCCCTTCCCCCTCCACTGAGCATGTATTGTAGTGAATGGTCATGCCAGAATATGGATTAGGAGATGCGCAGGGGAGGAGACTAAACTATTTTCTATTCCCAGGAGAGTTTAAATGCTTCATTGTACATAATATTTATGTAATCGTCTGTGGACTCCAAGCATTACACAGTAGTCTAACTTGTTCTCCTCACCCTCTCGTTTTAACCCTTCCAACCACCTGCTTGCTGAACAGAAATGGACTGGATTGATCCCATGTCGATATTTCTGGTGTTTGCCCTGACTCTCATCTTTATTACAAAAATTGCAAGTTTCTGGAGTAGCCGCATCAGAGAGGATTTTCCCCCAGGCCCAAGGCCTTTACCTGTCATTGGAAACCTGCACATCTTCGACCTGAAGAGACCCTACCGGACTCTCCTCAAGGTAAATCTTTCTCTTCTCACCTATATCATTACATATCATTACACCACCTTGCTCCAAAAGACAAAAGGATTTTCTACAGCTTTTGTGAATGCCTTGTTTTTGTGAATACCTCGTGGGATTGAGGGACCATTGGCATTTTTGCTGCATTTCAAGCTCATGTTGCCTCTCTCCTTCCTCCTCCGCTTGCTCCGGCTGACACTGCTTTTCTTGCAGCTGGTGCACTCAGTTGCTTCCTTCTTGCTAGCTGTGCACACGCAGCAGTTGAGCCCTATCAGCCTGGATGTACTCCCCCTTGGCCTGCAGACTTTTCCACTTCATCTGTAAAATAGGGGAAATTCAGAGTAGATGAAGCATAGTTGCTACATCTGGCATCTTGTATACTGCTTCCCACTGGGAAATCGTCCTCAAGATTTCCCCCAACAGATGGTATCTCTGCCAAGGATCTGAGAACCTCTAATGGTCAAGGACCCGCACTTAGTTTGTGGTGCTTGGTATACAGGAGGGCACTGGCTGTGCTCTGCTAGCGCCTGAGAATTTAGCTCTCGTAGTTGCACACGCTGGTTTTTTTACAACTGCTCATACCTCATCTTTCCCATGCTAACTTGTCATGGTTCCTTTTCCAAAAGGCCTGCAATGCATTTTCTCTGATTTTTAAGTTTGCAATGCTTCCTTCCATCATTCATGACATTTACAGGAAATCTATTACTGTCCCTCAATCCCACATATTCTGCTAATAAAGATGATACAGCTCCTGAGCTACCTGCACCTCTGATCACTTTGTGACCTTCTCGAGGGCACCCTTTAACTCACAGGCCACTTTCTCCGCGTACACATCCCATATATCTAGCAGAAATCTGAATGTGATGCCTCATCCTTCTCATATCTACTAATAGGTAAAATCAAAGCCTGATTTTAAATCAGATCTTAATTTCAATTCCATTTTTAAGTCCACGTTTGCATTAACAAATCACTCCACTCACAGTGGATTCCGAATGCAATTAACAGGCAGATCTTTATCCATGCAGCTAACATGTACAGATATCATAATGCCTCCTTACTGTAACTAAAGGGGAAAACCTTCAGGTGACGCTATTTAAAGGTATGTCCTTCATAATGCCCATAACAATTAATTCATTTTCTACAGATCAGTCAAAAGTGGGCAGAGCAATAATGGATTGGCATGTCTTTCTCTATTTGTCTAAATTATTCTTTCCATAATGTCATTTTTTTCAAGCAAACATCTCTGCTGTAGCTTTGTTGACTTCAGTAGATGAATTTGACCCACTCCTTGAAATACTTTTATTTTTTTCCCCATTTAAGCTGTCAGAAACCTATGGCCCCGTCTTCAGTGTTCAGATGGGATTCACAAAGATGGTGGTGCTCTCAAGCTACGAGACAGTGAAGGAAGCTCTGGTGAACCAGGCAGATGCATTTGCAGAGAGGCCTAAAGTCCCACTTTTTGAAGAATTATCCAAAGGAAATGGTGACTTACATTTTATTCTTTCTCTTAAACTAACTTTATTCAAGCAAGTAGAAATGTTTCTCCATATAAGAAACAGATGATTGAGGTGCTAATGTGCCTGTTTGCACCCTCATCCTTTTAAATCATTTTTAAAAAAGGGACTTCCATGTAATCAGCACATGTACTTGGAGACAAAATTGGTGTGGGCGAGAGCAGAAACAACCATGCTGAGCGTCATGGAGAAATAGGACTTCCTAATACCTCCCTATATTTATTATATATAAGGAAAACTAAGGACTAACTCATATTTAACTCACTACATGTATAATTTGGAGCTAATGTAAGGTCCTAATATAGATGGCCAGGGTCAGAGAGGTATCCTACTCAACCTATATCGATGGTCAGTTCTCCTATACTTTCAATGGAAAGCTGGTACGCTGTGTCCCGCTGAATCCTACTTCACTCGGCAAGTGTTCACAGATCTCCCATTCATTCCAGTGAGCAGCACTTAGATGCCTCCAGATGTGAAGCCTCAGTTATGCAGTAGGTGGGTGGCTTTTCCTTCACTAAAATGGAAAGTTTTAACCTGTGAGAAGCTACATCCGAGATCCAACTTCTCTCTGTTTGCATAAGGCATGTGTGTCTTAGTACAGCTTTGTTGGACCTGGGCAGATTAATGGCTCTATAAGAAGCATGAGACAGTCCCTCCTGCATGAGCTGTCTAATGGTTAGAGTATTTGTGCAGTACATGAAGGACCTGAGCTCTTCTCTGAGGTTTGCCTGAGGGAACCTTCTTGTTGAATTCTTCTGTGCAAATTGGATGTGTAGCAAGAGGTGTCACAGGAGAAGTGTGACTTCAGGAGAAGTCTGCCATTGCCAGAGGGAAAAATTCTTGGGGCCAGAAAGCAAGTATGCCATTTCACCCTGTGGTCCATGGGAGCTGGCACTCCTGGGGAAAGGAGGGAACCCTGGCCTCTGGTCCCTGCTTCCTCTGGTCACGTGATTTAATGCCAAATGTATCACAGGCATAGACGTATGTCTGGGATCATGGAGTGCTTGTACACATAATCCTCATTAAACTAAATAGGTTTATTAAATTTAAAATTATTTATTTTAAAACCTTGCATCAATGTTTCCATGTAATAGCCTTTACAATTATGTAAGCCCAGTGTGCAATTCCCAGTAAATTCCAGCAGGGGGAGCCACTTACCAATCGACCTCGCTGCTGTCTTAACGACTCGATTACAGCATGGGGCAGCGCCGTCAAACCAGTAATCCCTGGAGCACCAGTGCTGCCAGCTTGCTCCAGGAGACCCTCCTGGTGTGCTGGACACCCGCTCGACCCTCACCCAAGCCTACAGCCATTGTGCCAGCCCCAACCCCAGCGCCAGCCACACACCCCTATTGCACCCTCAGACTGCACTTCCCCTTTCCCTGAACCATGCGCCCTCACACTGCACCCTCAGACCACACATCCCCCATCCCTGCACCATGCAGCCCCCTCCCTCCCGCCACATGCTTCGCCCTATACCCACACCGCACAACTTCCCCCACCTGCACCTTGCAGCTCTCCTGCCCCTGCCCAGCACGTCCAACTCACATTCATCACTGTGGCTGCTCCAGGTGGGCCATAGTTGGCAGGGATCCCCTCACCACATCACCTCCCACACCCCCACTCCGTTCCACCTATGAACAAAACACAGCACATCTTCCTTTTGAATTTTTATATTAACTTATTTTGATGCATCACAATTACAAATTTTCAAGGAAAAAGGCAGTATATACAAACTATGAAACTTTCAAAAAGCATTATAAAAACCTTAAAAGAACTGTCTGAAAAGCAGAAGTAGAAAATGTATGAAATTATAGGACTTTACATTGTAAGAACTTAAATCATGTATAAATATAAATGTGCCTTTTTTTCTTATTAATGTTTAAATTAGCAATAAAATAATCAAGGAAAATAAACAATAAAAAAAATTACACTTCATTTAAATAAGTACCCAAAACATTTCCAATTTATACTATATGTACACTATTTATACTATTTGTATTTATTTCTAGTATTGGACTTTCATATGTACATCTAACTCTATTCTATTTACATCTCTATTAGCACCCCTAATATGCTGTATCTCTACTCATTTATATTCCTATCTCTAAATATTCTTGTCTCTATCCTATCTCTACATATCTACTTAACTCTCTTATAGATTCATAACTGGTTTTCATTTATTTCTTATTTGCTTCTCTTTCTTGCGTTTTTCTTATTCATTCTCTTCTTCTGTCTCTGATCCTCTATGTCTTCTGCAGGGGAAAAGAGAAGAAGAAAACAGGTTTTGGCCCATACTCCCAAAACCACCTTCTTCACCTCCCCACTACAGGCTACAAAGCCAGTGGGATATTTCAGACATTACCTATATATTGCTCAGGATGCAATGTATCCCAGAGGGGAACGTCTGGCTGGCAGTGTCCACTCGCACAGCTCTTTCTCGGGTTTCTGGAATGCAATTATAAGAAATAGGAAAGTTACCCCAAACTGCTTAAGTTCTAAGACCAGGTGCTACACCCCGCAGTTGAAAAGTTACCTTTTGCTACCACTGCCGCTGCTGCTGTGCCCTGCACCCACCTCCATGGTGCTGGTTGTGGGGGGCGGAGAGGGGAGTGGGGTGGAGGGAGGACACAAAAGATAAGTGGCAGTGATGTGTTCACCACCACTGCCATTGGGTAGTAGACCACCGTGCGGCGGGTAATGACTTGGCCTGCCATTTTCTTCTCCCTCTATATAAGGACTACATTTCCCAGCAGCCCCCCACTGTCAGTTTCTATGGAGACCCCAGAATAGCTGTGCTATGATATTATGGCCCCCGGGGATTTCCATGGATACCGGGTCAGATGTGTGGGGCTGTGCATACAGATATGTGCAATTTGGGGGTGGCTACAGCCCCCTCTTAGCTAGCAGCAGCCCTGCTGTCAGGGTGCATGGCGGGCACGAGGCATGTCGCAAAGCTGTACCATAGCCTCCCTGCCATCTTGCAGCACCGATAGCATGGCCTGTAACTGGGGCCGAGCCACGTTCTGCAGATTTCCATGTCCCGG